GTTCTCCTCAGCCGGCGCAGCCCCTCCTCTCTCTCCCGAGTCCGAACAGCGCACATCTTCGCAGACTCAGAGCCGGCGCAAGTAAAGTCCTCTTCGCAGGTCACACTCAGACTTTTTTTTTGTTTTCTACTTTTCTTATTGTTTTTATTGGAATGGTTATTGTTTCTTTATTGTCTTTATATTCTTAATTTCTTATAGATATAATTTATTGTCTTTATTTTCGCTATTTTCTATTTTTTTGTTTTCTACTTTTCTTATTGTTTTTTTTTTGTTTTTTGTTTTAACTTTTACAATTAACTCATGTTTTACTTTGATAATTATGTTTGATACAAAGTTAAGACTAAAAGTTTAGACTTAAACAATATATATATATATATATATATATATATATATATATATATTCATTTATTTTTTATTTATTTTTTATTTATTTATATAATGTTCGCCATTTGACCGCCCGCCGCTCGCCACGCTTCTCGCCATAAAAAAGAACCTCTCGCCCGCCACTCGCCATTCACAACTATGGTTGAATACATAGAATGTTGCTTTAGTTTTCGAGTGATGGAGTCAGATGTGGAAGTTAGGATCGATTCACATGCAGTGTGTAAGAGACAAATTTTGCTATCTTGGTTCGGTCGTTTAGGCATATGGGAGATAAATGGGAATTTTTTTCATTGTATTGGAGTCGTTTCAACAAAGTGAAGGTAGCTTCAAAGGTCACTGGCTATGCTTTATAGAGCAGAGTGTTGGGCTACTTAAAGAATCCACATTTGTCAATTGCATGCGGTAGAGATACGGATGTCGCAGTGGATGCGTGGGTAGACGAGGTTGAATAAGATTTTGAATAAGGTTTTCCAGGGACACGTGGGAGTGGCAGGCACTAGCAGGTAGTGTTGTTAGGTCGTCGCCGACTAGTCCATGACTAGTCATCCGGTCGTTTTGGAGAGCTCGACTTGACCATCGACTAGCGCCTAGAACTGCTATGTTGCCAAAGACGGCTTGGAGACCTTGAAAATCCCAAAATGCATGTAGACGGCTCCATGACTGTGAGAAGATGAAAGAGAAGAAGATTGGAAGAAGAAAGACTTACATCTCTGATTTCATTATCGCCGCCATCGACTTACGGACCTATTGCGTTTCACTCTGTCAAGCGGATGCGGATCTCAAACCCTCTCTCTCTTTGTTATTTACGGCTGCCCAAATAGGTCATAATATTTGGGTTGGTTCAAACGTTAGTGGGCTTATGACCTAATTTTCTAATAATGCTTTTAAAAGACTCCCTCCTAAAAATAAGCATATACAACTACTTTTTTTAAGAATAAAGTTCACTTTTATTGAACCTAAAACAAAGTTTTTACTTTTATTGGTAGCAAACAGGTGTCATACAAAAAATATTTTAATATATTATTTTTGTATTGATTAATTGTTATCTTTGTTAGATTGTTAGGCTTGAAGAATTAAGGATATTTGTTCCATACATTGTCTTTGCTATGTATGTTTATGTACTACCTTTAAACATAATTTTGTCATGGTAATGATACTTCATCGTATAAATATATATTCCCTTAATAATTATCCTTGGTGAATGAAGAAATATATCATTTTAAAAATTTCATTACTTAGGCCCCGTTTGGTACACGGAATTCAAAATATGGAATTGGAATTGAGGACTTCAATTCCAATTCTGGTGCTTGGTAGCACAAAAATTATGTGGATTTGGAATTGATAGTGCAAAAAATGAATTGAAATTGGCAGAATTCAATTCCATGGAATTGGATCCCATGGAATTTCAATTCCAATTCAATTCCAATTCCACAATTCCGTATACCAAACGGACCCTTATTGTAATTTGTCGACAAGTCTACGACTAGTCCACTAGTCTCTTCTCCACCGACTCGACTTATCGCATTGATAACCATGCTAGCAGGTGGAGGATAAGCCGCGGGAAGTTAGGCTGAGGTGGTTTGGGTACGTGAAGTGGCAAGTGTAGAGACCCCAATTCGGTAGTGGGCGGTGTGGGGGAAGGGGTATATATGAAAATGGCGGGATTCTAGAGCCACTCACTTTGAGGCACCTACGGTTCTCCGTTCATAAAATTGATGGTTCCTACCTCTCTAACCCCCGGTAAATCCCCCACCTTTGCCCAACTAGAACCCACCCCCTACCCCCTTCAATTGTACCCCCAAAAATAGTTGACTTTGGGGGGGAAAAGTTTTGACCCCAAAGTCAACTAATTTTGGGGTCAAAATCTACAAAAACATGCAACATATAAAGTGTAAGTTCAATTGTAATATTTTATAATAAATACAAAGTACTGCGTATATAAATTGAAGTGTAATCACTAAGTAAATTTTTAAAATTTAACATTTTAATAATTTATGCTAACTTTATAATACTAATTAAAGTTTATTTTGTGGAAGTAGGAAAATGTTATTTTGTGTATATTGTGAGATTCATTTATTTTTTTAAAAAAGTATATACATTGATTAGGATAACGATGATTATGAACATAATAATAATAATAATAATAATAATAATAATAATAATGCGATTATAATACGAATAATATGGTTAATACACTTAAATAATTTTTTAAAGTAAAAGTTGGAAGAAGTTGGAAGAAGTTGGAAGGAATTGGAAGAAACTAAGAGTTGGAAGAAGTTGAAAGAAACTAGGAGTTGGAAGAAACTGGAAGGTAATTTTTACAACTCTAAAGAACATGCTCTTAATGGGAGTGTTTTAGACTGATTTTTCCATAGCAATAAATAAAAGGGCTAAGCAGGTAAGTACTTGCTTTTGCCTTTTAAAGTTTAAGTGCTTAAAATAAGCAAAAGCCAGTAGCAAGTAAATACTTGTATTTTATTTATGAGATGATTGAGATTTAAGCTGCTTAAACTAGGCAGTAAGCAAAAAATTACTTTTCTTTACCAACCACACTATTATTGGGAGTGTTTTAGAAAACTTAAAATTTTTCTTATTCTTATTCTAAGCTGCTTTTATAGTTCTGGTGGTAGATAAACCAACTTTAGTTTTTGCTTATTGTTTATTATAAACTGCTTTTAATTTTCTGGCGTTAGATAAACCAACTTAAGTTTTTGCTTATTGTTTGTTTTAAGCTGCCGTTACAATTCTGTAGTTAGACAAACCAACTTAAATTTTTTCTTATTGTTTATTGCTGCTTTTACAATTCTGATGCTTAATGAATAATCTTAAATATTTTGCTTATTGCTTTTTTTAAGGATTTTACATCCCACATGTCACGAACAACTATCCTTATTACTTCTACTTATTGCTTATTTTAAGCAATTAATTTCCGTAAGTCAAAAGCAAGTACCTATGTGCTTATTGTTTTTGCTTACTGCTTTTGCAAAAGCTGTTGAAAGCACTACCATTGTATAAATAGCTTAAACTAAGCAATAACAATTTTTTAAAACACAACTAATATGGCTTATCACTATGGATTCTGATATTGTAATCTATCATCAGTCTGACAATTTGTTACAATAATGTTAGAAACATTTGAATATTACTTGATCGTTTATCTCAACGAGCTGAAGGTGTAGTTTCCACAGTTTAACCTACGCCATTTTTGTTGCTTTTTGGGCTGGTTAAGGATCAGGATAGGACCTTAACTAACTGGCATGTAAAACTTTACATTATTACTTTTAACTAGAGAGAAGGGATCATGTGGTTACGAGATGCCACACCAACTGCATCTCACTCCCAACATGTGGCTGCAACATTCAAATTTTGAAATTTTTCAGGTGCTGCGTATAGATTAAAAGTAAAGAAGTAAATGAAATTTGTAGGGCAGCAGGCTGTAATATTAAAATAATAAAAATAAAGAATCAGTGTTGCACTTTGTTTGGTAATTCCTTCTATCCTTAGTATCTGGATCTCAAGTGGCTGGTTTGGAACCAGACTGAACTTTGGTCATTTGTAGCCTCCCTTTCTGGGGAGTGGACGCGGGCTCCCTCCGACCCTTCTCCTCTCCCATAAAAAAAGGAATAGAAAACCTCTCTCATTCCAAAAAAAATCATGCATTCTCCACCAAACACCACTTCCTACATAATTTTGTCTATCTATCTGTTTGTTCTTTAAGAACTCCATTGGATGTATTCTGAAGTTTTACTTTCTGATACAATATAATGTCTATTATGTCATCTGAAGCATTGCACAATTGCACAAAGAATTTTTATCTTCAGTTTGTTCATGGAAAATAACTTGCAGTGTAAAATATTTTCTGAGGAAAGTAGCTTTGTTGAAAATCTGTAAATGTTTTGCATGGAAGATATTATCTTGGAAAATAATTTGTTCCATGTAAAATACAGAATGTAATGCTTGTACAACATAATATAAATTATAAGGCGTATGAACATATACTACATTGTAATAGAGTCAATAGCACTCAAACAAAACTATAAGATGTTTCATAAAAATGGCATCTCAGTGAAGGGGAACTCATTTCCCCTAGGAACTCTAGAAGTCTTCTGGAAAGTATTTTACAGTATCAAATATTTTCCTGTGCCAACCACAGGTAAATTAAAAAAACTCCTTTAAACAAGTTACACCATAATTTCAAATACTTATTCTCCCAAGTCCCCCAATGTGTGTGTGTGTGTGTGTCTTGTGTCTTAACTTGGTTTAATATATAATGTACATTCCACAGACTGATTGGGAAGGTGGTTATTATCCACTAACAATGAACTTCAGTGAGGACTACCCGAGCAAACCACCAAAATGCAAATTTCCACAGGGTTTCTTCCACCCTAATGTCTATCCTTCTGGGACAGTTTGCCTCTCAATCCTCAACGAAGATCATGTATGTACCATGCTAATGCTAACTATTAAGTTCAAACTGATTCTTCTCATGAATTTGTTTATCTTATGGCATTTCGCTGTCTTTGGTTGTTTCTAGGGGTGGAGACCAGCCATTACAGTGAAGCAGATTCTGATTGGTATTCAGGACTTGCTCGATCAGCCAAATCCATCTGATCCAGCTCAAACTGAAGGCTATCATCTCTTCATCCAGGTAACTTCTTTCATCTCTATTGAGATATTTCCCCCTTCACCTTAACCACCACTCCGTATTTACACCTGGGGTGCCATATGCTAGGGGTACACCAAATGGTGTACCCCAAGTGTACCCCAATATTTTATACCACACATTTTGTAGTGTAAGAAAAAAAGAAAAAAAATAAATATTTGTGGTTCAAAATGTTTGGGGTACATTGGGGGTACACCAAATTGGTGTACCCCTAGCATTGCACTATTCTTCCATTCATATTTGATTATATTTTGTGATTTTTACATGAATCAAAATATAGGCATGTGAGGTGTTGTTAGATTTGTCATAATATAAACTTCTACAATATCAACTTATATTTTTTTATCAAAACACAGTTTGAGATATCAATAATTTACTTTATGTATTGACAAGAGTCATTATTCACAAAAGCACAACTTTTGATTTTTGTAAGGTACAACTATTAGAAGGCATCAACTATACTTGTAATTCAACATTTGATTATGGGATGAACCAAATTCAACACTCGCAACCTATTTGTGACATTTGTAAAATTATATTAACACATTATATATGATGACAAATAACACACAACTTATTATTTAAATTGGACTCTTTTGGGATGAAATGATGTTTAGAAACATGAATCTTTTTCTATGTAATAACCCATTTTTTGTGTACCAAACAAACACATCACTTGTAACCCAGATAACCAAGTCTGAATATGCAGGATTCTGTTGAGTACAAAAAGAAGGTTAAACAGCAGGCCAAGCAATACCCACCTCTTGTCTAAAATCACAAAGGGTTTAATTTCCTTTGGCCTTTTTCCCCCCTAAATGTACATATTTGTTATGGGCAAAACCAAGTGTTCTATTACTCATCATTTCTCACATCATATGATGATGGTTGATGATGCTAGCACTCTTTCTCTCTCTGCTATGATTGTTGACTTTTTGGAGTATACCTATGTTTGATTGTATTGTGGTGTTATTTTGGATTCAACTTGTTTGTTCATCTATGATAATGCTCTTTTGTCCAGTAATTTTCATTGTTTTCTTGTTTGGGCTCTACCAGTATTTTGTTCTAATTTCTTAAGGAAGAGATTTCGTGGTCATATGATTTCTCCATTTAAAACACATTTCAACTACATAATATTTACCTCATTAAAAAATGGTTCATGTCATATAAACAAAAAATAGGGGACAAAGGGAGTGGGTTTTCGTTACACTTTTGGAGTCTAGTAACGATCCCTCCCAGACATCTTATCACTCTCTGCTATAAATCTTCTTGAGTTACTCTTAATGAAATCGGGTAGAGAAATTGGGTAGAGGCATTGACAAGGTGGGTGAGCTCTAATAAAGAAGTGAAACACTAAATATTACTAAAACATTCTTTTTCCGTCCCTAAATATTTGTCATACTTGTATTTCTGAGGTAAAATATTAAGTTTTTAATTCATTTCATTTACATATTGATATATAAATAAAAAATAAAATTTACATATCAAAAAACTACATGAAAAGTTTTCGAAAAAAGAGGTGTCAAGAATATTTTATTTTATTAAATAACTAATGAAAATGTAGAAATAAACAAAAGTTTTCGCGATTGCTAAAAAAGCTAATGTTACAAATATTTTGGGACGGAGGGAGTATGTCATTTTTTAATATACTTAAATTTTTTTATTCTCTAAATGGATACTCTCTTGAGATTTTGAGATGGTGAATATTCAAAGTATTCTCTAATATGCCAATGAGAATAAAGGCAATGAGAAGATCTTTCTGAAAAGATATATGCCTATTTTAATCCCTAATAAATAAAGTAAGTAATAATAATTGTGCTATTTTAAACGTTAAAAAAGGCAATGAGAAGATCTTTTTGAAAAGATATATGTCAAACGATGAGAGTATTATACTAAAATGATGTGAATAGCTAACCTTACAAAAAAAATTGTTGAGATAGTGAATATTCAAAGTATTTTGGTGCCTTTCGACATGATGCATTTTCAAATCATTTTGATGCACCTAATTTTGATGCAATCCTGACCCTTAGATCTCACAATCTAAAGCACCAGATTCATTCTCATTTCTCTCCTAAGATCGCATTCTCATTTCTCTCTTAAGATCACATTCTCCTTAGAGCATTTATTTACGATAATTGTGCCGCCTCTCGGAGACATTGACTCTTGGTTATGTTATCCCAAGTTTGAACCCCAGCAGAAACAGAGCCATTGATTCTTTGTGTGTCATTAGGTTGAGAAAAGTATTTGTAATGAAGTTACATATTTTATTCTAAAATAGGAGTACAATACTAATAATGTCAATATATAGGACCAAAAAAATAAAGAAATATCACTGCATAGGAGTAAAAAGTATGAAAATATTAAAATAGGAGTCTTGAGTTTTTTAAGACTAAAATAAGAGTATAATGAGAGTGTGGTATAAAGTATTTGTTGATAGTTTGATGGAAAAGTAATGACAATATAATATGCAGTGTGATCAGTCAACCGTCGACGATCCATAGTGGCAGCTATGACACCATGGTGGCCAACGGTGACGGATGACAGTGTACTGGTGATAGTGTGACAATTACAATGTGACAATGTGGTGACTGTGACAGTTTGAACTCATATTTTGGTCTTAAAAGACTTATGATTTCTAGTTTTGTATTTTCATAATTTTTTACTCCTATATAAAGAGTTTATAGTGAAATTTCACTATACAATGTTATAATATTACAATAAAAACTATTATTTTGGGGAAAAAGAGTAAATTCCATAAAAAGTCCCTAGTTATAGGCCGTTTTACATATTTAGTCCCTACATATCAAATATTACTAATTTAGTCCCCAATTATTATATTCATTTCCACGAATGGTTCTTTGTTAATATTTTCGTTAAAAACGTGGATAAAATTGTAAATTCACACTCTTTTCTCTTCTTAATTAAGCTTCCTCCCTTCCCTCGCACTCCTTTCTCAAACTCGTCGCTGAGTTTGAATCTTTGAACCCAAAACCGAAATCATCACTCTTCTCCCAATTGTTTGTCTAAGTGGTGGAACCTAAATTAGAAATCATCCTAAATAAGACTAAAATATAGAGAAAAGTACAAAAATAGGACTTTCATGTTTTTTTTCCCGGAATAGGACTTTGCACTGTGGTAATGTGACTTTGCATTGTGGTAATGTTGTAGTGTACATGTGCAAATTACTATACGTTTTTTTGTAATGTATATGACCATGTTTGGTAATGTAAGTCCTATTTCGGGAATAAAAACATGGAAGTCCTATTTCAGTATATTTTCAATGTTTTAGTCCTAGTTTGGTCTTTCTCCCAACCTAAATTCGAAACCAGTAATCTTCATACATGAGTTTTAATGTTTATTTCTTTGCATTTTCTTGAGACTAACCGACAAAACGCATTCATAAAGCTTATCGGTTTTGATTTTAGGTTCCACCAGGAAGACTAATAATTGAGAGAGGAATGATCATTTCAGTTTTAAGTTTAGGGCTTCAAACTCAGCGACGAGTTTGGGAAAGAGTACGGGAGGAGGGAGGAAGCTTAATTGAGGAGAGAGAGAGAAGTATGAATATACAATTTTAACCATGTTCTTGACAAAAACGTTAACAAAGGACCATTTATGAAAAATGATATAATAATTGAGGACTAAATTAGTAATATTTGATATGTAGGAACTAAATATGTAAAACGACCTATAACTTGAGACCTTTTATGGAATTTACTCGGGGGAAAAAATATTATACTCAGATACAGTATATGCTATGTTTTCACAAAAAATGAGTAAGAATTATTGGGCCGACCCGTAAGAATATGAGATCCAGACCCGTGCATAAATCTCTCGCTCTCGTCGTCCACCTGTCTTGTCCCACTCTAATCTTCCTTCCAGTCTCTATGCAAACTTCCTTCAACAATGGACAAAGCTTTTAAAAAACTATAATCTCTCTCTCTCTCTCTCTGAATAGAAATCTCATTTCATAGCTCAATAGCTACTGATCATTCTCCATCTCACATTCACTCGTACACATCTTCCACTCGCAGTCGCTCTGTGCGAAATGCTGGCAAGTTAAATCCTTAGCATTTTCGAGATTTATCTATTTTCCCAAATTTACGTACAGAGTAATTATTAAAGAAGATCGATTTTTATTTATTTATTTATTTATTTCCCAACCATTCTTATAGTTTTGGGAAGAATTTCAATCTTAATTTCACTCGTTTTTTTTGGGGTGCGTAGAGATTTGATTCCATTTTGAGCTCCAGATAGACAGCCTGTTTTGGAAGCTGTCGGCGGACAGAAATGGAGCACAAGCAGCCATGGATTTGGAAGAAGAAATCTGCAGAGAGTGGAAGGCGTTCTTCTTTCAGCAGAAATGAAGAGGATGTNCCCCCCAAAAAAAAAAACATAATGCATCCTCTTCACGTGCCATTTCCAGTGTTTTTTGCTTTTTTGGCACAAAAAAGGTAATAACTTTATGGAGTTTTTGTCGTGTTTGGTTCTCCCAACCTGTCCAATTGACACAGAGTTGAAATTATTCCCATAATTGGAAAAAAATTTAGTACAGTATAAAAGTTTAGGCTTGGTTTACTATCTCTCAACTAAATTTTTCCTCCAATGTGAACAAACTCCGGGCAATGGAACAATGTAGGTAAGGGAAGTCGGCAAAGTTGATATGTAACTCCGAGGAAGGGGTTGGCTTTGAGGGTTGGGAACTTCTCGCTTTCTATTTTGGACTGTATTAAAATTCTACTCCAATTGCCTATTTTTTTCCCTCTCCACCATTTTCCTACTTTTAAAAAAATATCCTTATCGTTAAATTTACTTCGTACTCCGGGTGTATCACAATATCACAACAGAAAATCCTCAAGGGAACAATCAAAATTTAGAATTTCTCAGCCGTTGTCCTAAGAACAACTAAAAATAGTATTAGTTGAGTTTGACTTTTACTTATTCAAGTCAAACTGGATGAACTTTAATTATCAATCGCATTAAATTTGTGTTACATATTTGAACAATAAAGTAGATTTCTGAATGTTTTCCACAAGATAAATCTATTGAAATTATTTGTGTACTAATATACAATACAATTGTTGTTTAATTGATGATCAAAGTTTGTCCAGTTTGACTTGAAAAAGTTAAACGGGACGAATGTCGTATTTGATTCAGTGTTATAATTGGTAAATGTTCAACTTAGAACAATAAGTATTGAGCTCAAAGCCTTGTTGTGTAAAAAATGTGTTTCGTAATGTATGATCTAAATTGTTCTGAATCCCAAATATTTTTCATACCAAAATGCTGTGAAACAATTATTTTAACTAAAAAAGGTGTTGTGAGTTAAGACAGCAATTCTGGCTAATGTTGTTTTGTCCCCTGCAACAATTATCTATTACCATCAAACTAGGCAATGCACTTCATTTGTCTTTCTTTTTTTTTCTCTTCCATTCAATCCTCATGGAACAATTTTATGTGTTTATTCTTATATTTGTTTGCATAGCTACATGTGCTTTTAAAGGGTAAAGCAGAACTGGAAAGAGATATACAGAAGTTGAATGATAGGCTTTCTTCTGCTCTCTTAGAGTGCAATGCAAAAGATGATTTTTCACAGAGACAGGCAAAGATTGCACGTGAAGCAATTGCGGGTAATAGCATCTCAACCCTTTTCTAAACATAATTTTTTCTTCTTATATTCATCTTTCTCTCCTGTAAAAATGATTTCGATGTGGGTGTGTTTGGATCCCATAGAAATATAGAATACCAAGGAAAAAAATAGGAAGGAAAACATTGAGTAGGACTGGAAGTGAAGAAAATGTGCATGGGCGATAACAGATATGTGGGGTTAAAAGTTAAAACTGGTTATTATATAAAACTAAAATATCTGAATATATGTAAATTTAAATATTCCCTTTGTCCCACAGTTTACTTCACTCTTTCTTTTTCTGTCCATCCCAAAAGAAACTTCACATTACTCTCATGTCCTTTTAAGTAAATGAACATGCGGCTCATAACATTTCTCTCTCCTAAACAAATTTCAACCACACATTTTTCTCTTTTAAATGCTTTTTCTTACAATCAAATCAAAGAGTGAACATAATTATGGGACGGAAGTAAGGAACAATCTTATTCCACTTTTTGGTGAGAGCAAACATCCAAAAATTATTTGGCATTTTCCCCTTTCCATATCATTTTGTATGATCCAAACAAACCCTATAGGTTGGGAGAAAGCCGAGACAGAAGCAATATTTCTGAAGCAAGAGCTAGAAAAAGCTTTATATCAAATAGCAGCAAGCGATGAACGATTAGTTAGTTTGGATTCAGCACTGAATGAATGTATGCATCAGTTGCGTTCTGTCCGAGGAGAGCAAGAGAAAACAAGGGTTGTGTTTGAGGAGAAACTAGCAAAGTTAGTGGCTGAAAACACTCAGCTCAATAAGGCTCTCATGGGAAAGGAAAAAGTTATTGTGAATTTAAGTGCTCAAAGGGCTATGTCAGAAAGAGAATTAAATACCCTTATGACTAGACTTGATTCTTTAGAGACTGAACTTGGGAAGAATGAAAAGCAGTCAAGGACTCCATTTTCTAAAAAAATAGGAGCTTCTGACATGAATCTTATGGATGACTTTGTACAGATGGAAAAGTTAGCTGTTGAAAGAGCAGTTAAAGGCTGTATATTAGAGCGTTCTGCTTCTACACAGGAAATTAAGTCACATACATGTCCATCTGTAACTAAAATAATTGAAATTATAGAAGGGATTTTACCATATCGCATCTCAGAAACACAAGCAGGCTTCACAGTTCGTCATTTCCAGTGGAAAACTTCTGAACTTTCTCTGATTCTTCAAGAATTTGTCCAAACTTGCCATAACCTTTTGTATGGAAATGCTGACTTTGAAAAGTTTGCCGAACAATTAGCTTGTACCTTGGAATGGACCGTCAACCATTGTTTTTCCCTTCAAGATGTTTCAAGCATGGAAGATGCAATAAAAAACCATTTCGAATGGGATGACGAGTCGCGAAGCGAGTGTGAGGTAGGACCACCCCCTCAATTCATAGTTGTAAATGATGGAGGCAAAATATATAAGGGTGAATATGCAAATGCAATTGCTGAGAAGATGAAAGAGGAAGATTTGGGAAAGGAGCTCCAAACAAAGAATGGTGAGGCTGAACCATTGACGGTGGAGATCCAAGAATCGGAAACAATCAATAGCCTGAAAATGGAAGTGGAAAATCTTAGAGGTTTAAAGTCGATGATAATTGAGGATCAAGATGAAAGACACAAGATTATTAAAGAAGGCCTTGAGATGCAGATTGAAGCAACCAAACTTAAGTTAAATGAAGCTTGCCAGAAGTATTCTCTTCTAGAAAAAGAAACAGATAGAACATATACAGAGTCTGTGCCTGCCGCACATGATAAACTTCAGTTATGTGAAAGGTATGCCTTTTCGTATTATTAAACTTGAACGCTATTACTTATTCTCAAATGGTTTTCATTTTTTTCCAAACCATTTCTTATTTTCAGCATTTCAAATAAAGAATTTCCTCAGGATGATGTGGACAATGAAGAAAGGCTAATACAAAATGTAAGTTCCTTAATTGTCCTAATGAATTCAAGTTGCAATGCTAGAGAAGCCACGGAGAGTTCAATTGTTTGTTACTACCCGATAGGCAAATTATACCGTACAAGGTTTACATCCTGTCATACCTACTTTCCTATTCATCATGTGAGCCTTGTGTACCTCGTAAATTTACAAAGAACAAATTTATAATGTGTATGCTCTGAGTATGTGCAAAAATGTGTGCTTTCCTGCAATTTCATTTTAGAAATTTCATTTTTATCCTTTCACAGATTGGAGGTGGCACCATATTTTTGTTTATATCTCTTATCAAACTACCCAGTGGATTAGATGTTTTAAATACCAAACACCAACCTATTTGGCTGTGTTTTTTATTTGGTTGATATTGTAAATCAAGTAATGCAGGGTGTACTTTTTCTAATGAATTTTGTTGAAGCGGAGGAAAATTACATTATTACCTTTATTTCCAAATTATTTCCTTTTTAATTAAGAAAATATATTTTAATTGTTTTTATGCATTTATGTCTTGAAAATTATATATGAATGGCTAGCTAATGGTTTAACTTGGTAGGACTGGGAAATCACAGCAGCTTCAGAAAAGTTGGCCGAATGTCAGGAAACTATATTAAACCTGGGAAAGCAGTTGAAGGCATTGGCTTCGCCAAAGGATGCAGCCATTTTTGATAATTCCATATCTACCCCTAAGAAGAACCTTGGGCGTCGCTCATCTCTGCTTGACAGAATGCTAGATGAGGACAATGACGGTCAATGTTGCAAGTCTCCTAAAACCAAGGAACTCATTCTGAATGGAAATAGCCATTCTGCTTTGGGTGCCCATAACGAGGCAGTAGAACCGCGTCCAGAAGATGTTAGATCTCAAAATGGGAACAGAAACACAGTTGAAGACAAAGATCATGGCAACACAATTGAAGAAAAAGACAGTGTCGATTCCTTAGCTATTGTTCGTGGTAAGAAAAAGAATGGAGGATTGTTGAAAAAGCTGTTAAGCTGCAAAAAGACCATCTCATCATGATGAATCTTTGGAGAGCATTTTGTTTCCACTTCACTCCTATCTCTCTTGTAGTGGGTAAATTTTGTGTTCCCTTTTTATGTTCTTTCTCATATAATATTTTGTAAAGTATCTTTATTGCTTGTTAATAAATGAGAAGGCGATGATCCTTCACCATGTTCTCATGTTTTTTGGTTGTTGGATGATCCAGCAAATTGGTGATATGGTGGGTTAGAAAATGGAACTTTTCAATGAGATTTTTTCACAAGGTATGCAAGTAAATATGAAGATATGAGAGCTAAAATTAGAGTGACTTATTATAAAAAATATGAAGTGGCACCTATTGTATAGAACAAGGGATGAAGGTATGAGAATTAAGTTGGAGTGACACCTATTGTAAAAAAGATAGTGGGAACCTATCTTAGGTTGTTTGGACATGTGAAGAGAAGACGAATAGAGCAACCGGTGAGAAGTGTTGATCAAATGGTGAATAGGCATGTGACTAGATGAGGTGCAATGACGTTGTTTGATCCATGTAGCCAACCCTACCTAATGAGATAAGACTTTGTTATTCTTGTTGTGGTTAGATGCAAGTATGAAGTAGAGAATTAAAAATGGTGATGCTATGTTTTTTTAATACGACGTCCAATAAGTCATTGCTTCTGTTGGGACTTGAATCTGGATGAACTTTTTCATGAACCTTGAGAAGTGCGTTTTCTACAACTCAAGTTAAGAGAGAAATTCATATTTTTTCTTTAATAGAAAACTAGAAAAATTAGAAAAATGTTTAAGTTTATTTTGAAATAACCTTTAAAGGAAATGTAATTTGTTTTTAGAGATGGTGGAAGTATACACATCTCTTGTTTGTATTAAGGTTAAATATGTTTGTTGTTCCTATAAAATTAACGAGTTTTATTTTTGGTGCATCCAATACATTTTTAATTAAATCATCCTTGTAAAGCTATTATTTTAACAAATAATCCTCCCCATTTTTAATATTTGTTTTTATCCTTGTAAAAATTATAAAATTTGATTTTAGTCAATCAAAATCTTTTTGGTTCATTCAATCACATAGAGTACCCTGTATTTAATTAGAAGGTCAAAGTCAATGAAGTATATATTTAAAAGCTTAGAGCATTTACAATGGAAGAGAATCTTGTCTCGCCCCATTGCTTGCCACATCAACATTCCAATAATTTTCAATCCTTCCCCAAAATTTTGTAAGGCTTTTGCCTTCAAAAATTTGCCTCTCCGTTTCTTTAATATTATTCATCATTTCTAATCGAAATTATTTAAAAAAACAAAATACACATAATTAAAATAAAAATGCTAACAATGACACTCTTTATTTAAAACAACATCGAAATATAAAACAAATTAAAATTAAAACAATCAATGAAAATACATATGTAAATGAAAGTTATCGAATGTAAGTGCAGTAATAACTCAATTACGTTTGGGAGAGAGGAGAGAGACACATATTTGTTACCATTAGTAAAGATGTTATAATAATATAATTTTAGAATATAAAGAGTAGATGCTCGTGGCTACTGCGCATAAGTTATAATTTATTTTTACATTGTAATACAATTATTTATTTTTAGTTAAATTTAATATTTTTCTAATAAATATAATCTTTAATTTTATGAGTTACTCACATCATCTCGCTCTGCTTGTCTTATCCATTATTCACAGAGTTAAATTAGATATTTTTCTTTACATATTTTTGTCTATCATTTTTGTTAAAAATTATAGTAATGAAATCTCTTATTTCATAAAATATTTTATTTAATTTTTAAATATACAATTTTAAGTTTTTATTCAACACCAATATTTTAATAAATTTAAAAAAATGCATTAGTTAAACATTATAAACTGAAATGAGATAAAAATGTAAAAAGTTAGTACTTTTTTACTTAATGCTTGACATGTCGCGTGTTGATAAAACATTCTAGGTCCCCCACGACCTAAATTAATTATAATTTATTATACTAATAACAATAATGATAATTATTTTAGTAATTATCATTAATAATATAAAAATTATAATTTTTTTGATAATATTAATTAATTTTGTAATTTTTATTAATAATATTAAAATTATAACTTTTATTGTAATTATTAATTACTACTCCATATTATTTTAATTATTATATTTATTAGTATTATAAATAATTATTGTCATTATTATTATTAAGTGTTATGATTAATGAGGAAAATTATCAATTATTATTATATTTACAAATAAATAATTATTATCACTATTATTAATTATTATTCATTAAAAATAATTAGTATCATTATTATTGTTTTGTATTTAATTATTTTATTTTAATTATTATTATTATCATTAATTACTATTAATTAATACTGATAATAATTATTGTTGTTGTTATTATTTTAATCATTAGTATTTTTTTAATATTGTTTATTGTTGAAGAAGTTTGAAGAGAACTGCATTCAACTGTCTCATGCTTCATTCTATGGTTGCAAACCGCGCAGTCTTTGCGAGTTGTGACCTGCACCATCAAATTCCATTTTAGAATTGTGTATTTGCTTAGATTCATTATTATGAACCCATCGGAGAACAGTGTTCACCGAGAAACACAGTATTCGACGCCGGCGAAGTCGGCGCCTAAGGCTTCATTCTATGGTTCCGAACCGCGCACCCCAATAATGCTAAGGTAATGTGTTAATTTTAGACCTAAGCGTTACTCTTTACCACTCCATTTTGTTTTTTCAGCTTTGAAGAATTTCTATGTTCTTATTGCTTCCCCAAATTAATGCTTGTGTTTTTTTTAAAAAAGTATGATTCGAGCTACTCCGTCCCGAAATTATCTTCCGAGTTTGACTTGACACGATTTTTAATAAAGTGGAATGTGGGTGGTTGTAGTTTGTGTAGAGGAAAGAGAATTGATATGGACCACGCAGTTGTTTGCTTAAAAAGAAATAGGAAGAAAATTTTGTGACAACCCAAATAAGAAAGAAGGAAGATAATTACGGGATGGAAGGAGTAACATGTTTAGTCAAAGCACAAAATTTTGAAAACTATAAGTAGGATTGATGACTTAGAAGATTTGTACCTTACCAATTTTAAGTGTACCTTACCAAAATTTAGAGGTCTTAGTTAACAAGACATTTTTGGCTATTTTTAGAGGTAATGACTGTAGACTAGATGTATTCCAACACATTCCTCATTTTCAAGACTAGATGTCTAAGATGGGATTGATGGAAAACTAGGAAATTAATTTGATCATTTATTAGTATGGTTTTACATTATATATGGAGGGCTCCTGCTAATTTTCAATCAAGACCATAGAACTTTGAAAGTTTCCTATTTTTGATAGAAAAGCATTTCTTGCTACGAATGATTATGTAACCAGAAAGTTACATTTTTATTGTCATTACTTTGAGCCTGATGTTCATGATTTTGAGGGAAAATATGCATACCTTGAATGAAAAATCTTAATATCTCGCCCCTGTTATCACTTCATTTTTGTAAACAGCTTAACACAAGTGACGTAATTGAAAACACATGAAACATACTCCCTTCGCCTCCATCCCTAAATAAAAGTCCTAGTTACTATTCCAGGGTCACGATAACTTTTGTTTGTTTATGCATTTTCATTGATCATATGATAAAATAAAATAGTCATGTTAGCTCTTGTTTTAAAAAAGTTTGATGTACAGAGTAGTTTTTAAGTATGTAAATTTTTAAATTCTACATCAATTTTCAAATATAATGAATTAAAAAAACTGATTTTTACCTCATAACTCCCTTCAAAACTTATTTAGGGGCGGAGGGAGCATAAAACTCTCGTTGAAAAGGAAGTTATCCAACACAATGAAGAAGCATTATCAACAAGAAAAAACAACAAAACCAGAAAAATCTCACAAAATTTGGGTCTATGGAGGGTGTGTATATGCATTAGACCTTGCCCTACTTCCTAGACCCTAGTAGAGAGGTTGTTTCCACGAGACCTCACCTCAATCACAGGACAGAAACAAAGCAAACAAAGTAACACGAACAAAGTAAGAGCACATATAATAGAATCACACATCCCAAGACTAGCAACATAGACCCAAAGCACAGAAAGCACACATGCACAAGCTTCAAACTAAGGCATAAAAACACACCAACATAAACTTCAAACTGTGGCATAAAAACTCACCAGCATAAACTTCACACTAAGGCTCAAAGGTCTACCTAGCTACTCTAATCCAAGAACTCCTAACATTCCTCTTTAAGGCCATATCCTCTCTAAGATCTTGAAATCGTGAGTCCTGTCTAATCACCTCCTTACAACTCTTCCTAGTTCTACCTCTACCCCTTCTCACGCCCACCACTGCAATCTTATTGCATACCATTACTGGGTCTTTGCACTTTTCCTCCGTACGTGCCCAAACCACCTTAGCCTAATTTCTCGCACTTTATCCTCAATAGGTACTACTCCCATTCTTCCCCAAATAACCTTGTTCCAGATCTTATCCCTCCTCGTATTAGCACACTTCTACCACAACATCCTCATCTCAGCCACTTGAAGCTAACAAATGTGAGTTTAGGGAAAAAAAGATAGTAGTAGATGATCTTTTTCTTAAATTCTTATGTTATATACTCCCTCCGTCCCAAATTATAATGCCTGTTTACTATTCACAGGGTCAAACTTCATTCACTTTCTTTCTCTATTTTCGTTAGTAATTTGATAAAATAAAATATTATTGTCACTACTAGTTTTGTAGATCTTTTGATGTAGTTTTTTAATATGTAATTTTTATTTTTTAATTATATATCATTTGTCCTATAAAATACTTTGAAAATAATTTCAGTCAAACATCGTAAACCAAAACAGGCGTTATAAATTGGGACGGAGGTAGCATTTATTTATTTGCTTTTTTATGACTAAATGTTTATTTATCCATCCTTATATATATATATATATATTGTTTGTAAGTTGTTTTGTTTCTCCCTTTCTATGCAAAAAATATATTCTAAAAAAACACAACGATAAACCCAATAAAAAAATTGTGGTTTGTGAGTGTATGTAGACCTTACCCGTACTTGGAAAGTAGAGAGACATTTTTTAAGAGACCCTCGGCTAAAAACAAAAGGAAATAAAATCTAAAAAATACGTGGAGTATAAATGTGAAACAATTTGAAATGGCGTAT